CGTCCAGAGACCATGGCTGGAAGGATTGGCGTTTCTTCTTAAGGAATCAAGGTTACCGGACGGCAAGAGTGTATCGATTGATGAACTCGAACGAGAGTCGTTGGAAAAAGAGCGTAGAGAAGGCCGGGTTCGGGAGCATCGCGGGATTGACGGGTAAAGAGAGCGTAAACGCAGGTAAGAACCCGACTGAGTCTTTGCAAAAAGAGCCTGATGGGAAATTGGGTTAGCATCTTGCTAAGCCGAGACCAGATTAAGTGATAAACGTGGGAAGGTCTTACGGTCACTTCTTGCATCATAACGATTCCGATGAAGGAGAATGAAGGGGAACGTGTATAGCAGTGGCAGCGACGGTGTCAAAAAACAAACAGCAATTGAAATCAAAATCTCAAACCAACATCTTCAAGAACAAAGATCAGATTAGAATTGAGAGTCTATTGAAGAATTTGCGCAATAAAAAAGATGGTACATATGGCCGAGGATCACAAGCAATTTATTATTTGAGAAACATCAAGTAGGTAACTAACAAGCAGACTCAACCTAAATCACGGGGGCGGCACACTCTACGATCTGACGTACTCTCGGCAGCGTTCTCGGCCTGTCCAGTGCTGGCGGCTGTGCTATCCGTGGGGCTCTTGCGGCCTGAGGCATTAAAAGGACCTCTCAAAACCGAGGGTAGGGACAAAGTAATGAATATGAATATCTGCTATTTATCCAAGCCCTTTGTAAGAATTCCAACTGATTCTATACCTTAAAGTGGTTATCTAATAAGAAACGACGGACTTGCATACATACATAAGATCACAAAGAGAATGAAGAAAGCTTGGTGACGAAACAGTTCCCGACCAAAATTGAAGTCTCTCTTTCGCCCATGCGCCATGCTGCCCATAATGCGTACAAGTGGACGAACTTTTCAATATTTCCTTTGTGCCTTCTTGGTCCCCTTCCTGCAACCACTGATTGCCGTCGTTACCACGCAACAAGACTCTCCAACTTTGGTTTCGTTATCCGAGGGTATAATAGTAGTTTCAATTCAAGATCAATTCCGAGCGCATCTCATTGAGCGCAACGAATTGTACTGAAAAACGTAGACCCTGGTCCTCTAAGCAGAGCCGAGAGACAGAAATATAACCTCGGAGGACTCCAGTTCGACTCTTCCGCAACCGACTCATGAAGATGTGAAAGGCGCACAAAAGGTCTTCTGCGAACGATTGTGTCGCTCGAAAAGACATGCGTACTGATGTAGTCCAGCGCGATTAAATTACCCAGCGATAACTGGCATAACGACCGGCGGTTTCACTCTTTCGGATAATCTTGACGACCTGTCCCCGCCGCAAACCCAAGTACCTCGCAACAGGATCAGAGACCTGGATACGAGGCAGTTGCGACTCCTTCAATCGATACCGCTGGAGCAGATTCTTCTTCTCCTCTGGGCTCAGCAGGACGTGTTTGGGAACCAATTCGTGACGAGTGATGTTGACCAGTAGATCCTGCTCCTGGAAATGCTCACAGATACGACCGGGGATACCACTCAGTAGGCGCACAGCAGATGGGGAGATTGGCGTCTGAGTAATGAAGACTCCGGTGTGAAAGTTGTTCTCATCAACAAAGTGATTGAAGGCTCGAACTTGCTTGGTACCGACACCGGTGGAATCGGCACAGAACTCAACATAGATAGTACCACAGTCAGGTTGAGGGTCTGGGTTGGCGGGGGTGGGCAAAGGTGTGTATTTGGCTTGCATGGCTGCTGTAGGACGAGCGCTGATTTTCATCTTGGTGCGGCTGTATGGTTGAAGAAAGTGCGTTAGACGAATTGAACAGGGATTCAAAAGAGGTCCAGGGTAGTCGCGTACTCAGGGAATCCCACAGGATCCGCATATTTCTGTCTAAATTCATCTAGGGGAATTTGAATCTCTTCTTCTGTGACTTCGTACCCCTAGCAGCAGAACAATCGTGTAAGCATAACCGCACGACAACATAGCGCAAACAAATAAACGTTTCAGAGAAACTCACCCGATCCGCCAGCATCTCGAATACCGTCCTCCAGGTTCGCCAAAGTCTGGTCATCTCGCGGTCGGCCTCCGCGGAGCTGGTGTATTCTTCATCCATGGCTGAAAATTGAAGTAACCGCGCCTGTCCGCTGCCTCAGGAAAAAATTGTAACAAGCAAAAGAAATGCTATCTCGGAGAGAGCGCCGAGTAATATGTCAGGCGCAGACGGGAGTTGTATGGAAGAAAACTGGTCGATAAGTAGGAATTTGGAGACTGTCAGTGATTGAAGTTCTCGAAAAATCGGGCGGACCTGCGCTAAGAGCGCCAATGGTAAGCGCCGCCAACCAGAAGAGAATCAGACGCCAGTAAAGGCCAGGCTTACCATAGAAGAGCTAGGGAAAAAAAAGAGTGAGCCAGGGAAAGAAGAGAGGCACGAGTTCTCGGTCCCCTTCCCCAACTTTCCGCCTACCTGTCAATTATCAATTATTTTTGTGTATCACTCTCGTGTTACTACCTTACCCTCCTTTCTTCCCACTCCCCTGAGCTGCGTCTTTCTGCGATTGATCCAAACGATCAATCTCGGCTCACTTTTGAGTTTCTCCTCACTCATCTCTTCCTCCTTCATCCCCGCTCTTTAATTCTCAAAAAGTCATGGCTGCCACCGCCAATGCCGCTCCTGCCACGGAGCAGAAAGCCAGGCCGACCAAGCCCAACGAGGAGGCTTTCAAGGCTGATCTCGCTCAGGCTGAAAAGGAGCATGCTGCTGTCCAGGAGAAATTGGTATGTGGGGTCTCCTTCAATTAATAACGTCCATTGTTTTATTGCTTTGTTGTTTGTTTCATGCTCCGCACAACGTGCCTCTTTTTTTATTTCTTCCCATACCTCTACCCCTCCTTCTGTGGAAAATGACCCTCACACATCTATCATTTCCTCTTTTGCTTTAATGATATGTGTATACGACCACTTGCAGACTGCATAACATATCTAAAGATACTGACTATGCGCAGAACCAAATCAAGGCCAAGATCGAGAGCGCCAAGCCTAACAACCAGGACTCGCCCGCAGCCAAGAGACAACAGGAACTTCGTGCTGAGCTCTCCTCCATTCGTCAGAAGCAGCAGGGATTCAAGGCCTCAAGAACGAGCACCCAGGAGAAGATCAATGCTCTGGAGTCGACCCTCAAGGCCCGGATCACCGAACAGAACAACTCCCGCACTCGCATGCCATTCAAGAATGTCGAGGACATTGACCATGAAATCGCCCGTCTCGAGAAGCAAGTCGACTCTGGTACCCTCCGCTTGGTGGACGAGCGCAAGGCTCTCTCCGACATCTCGACTCTTCGTAAGCAGCGCAAGAACTTTGCCGGCCTAGACGAGCAGCAGAAGGTCATCAACGACCTGAAGGCGCAGATTGCTACCCTCAAGAAGACTCTCGACAACCCCGAAGCCAAGGCTCTGAGCGACAAGTACACTGAGATCCAGAAGGAGCTCGATGCCATCAAGGCCGAACAGGACAGTGCCTTCAAGAATCTGAACGCCCTGAGAGACGAGCGCACTAAGCTGCACGCTGAGCAGCAGAAGAAGTGGACTGCCATCCGTGAGATCAAGGACAACTACTACAAGGCCCGCAAGGCGTACAAGGAGTATGAGGACGAGGCCTGGAGGATCCGCCGGGAGAAGCAGAAGGCCCAGCGTGAGGCCTTTGAGCGCGAAAAGAGAAAGAAGATCGCCGACAAGAAGCTCGAGGAGGCATCCCGTCCCGCTTACACCGACGAGATTCTCATCGCGCAAGGCCTTATCCGCCACTTCAACCCGTCCTACGACTTCTCCACCCTTGGTCTCGATGACAAGAAGGATCAGTCTTCCGCTTTCCGTGCTCAGGTCGGTCGTACCGTTGACGACTCCAATATCAAGGGCATGAAGGTCCTGAAGAAGGAGGACCGCGAGGAAGACTACTTCGTCGGCACCGGCGGCAAGAAGGGCAAGAAGGGTAAGAAGGGCACCGCCAATGGCAGCCCTGCCCCCGGAACTCCTGCCGAGCCCACCAAGTTCAACCTCAATGTCGGTGTCATTGAGGACTTTGCCAAGGTTAAGATCGACCCTCCTATGAACCAGTCCGATGTTCCTGCTGTTGTCGAGAAGCTTGCCGCCAAGATCACCGAGTGGAAGAAGAACCAGGCCGCTAAGACTGAGGAGGTGAGTTAACAATAGTTATGAGAGATATTTGCAGGCGATTTCGATGTGCTGACTGATTTGTGTAGAACATCAAGAAGGCTCAGGAGGAGATCAAGCGTCTGGAGGAGGAAGAGGCGAACTCTGACAGCCAGCGTGCCACCGACCATGCCAAGAAGGTCGCTATTGAGAACAGCGGTGTCAATGGCAAAGTCTCCGCCGAAGCTGAGCTGAAGCAGGAGAACGATGCCACCGCCGATGTCTCCGAGGAGCTCCAGAAGGCTTCGATTGAGGACACGGCATGAAGAGAAACACGAACGATGTAGACTCGATCTACGCCATCGCATGCACATCCCATTGCATCAGCGGGTGCTTTTTGACATTCTAGATCTGCAAGAGCTTCCCCGAAGTTTGCATTCTCATTTCTTGCGATTCCCCAAGCATTGCCAACCTGAGCTCCTTCCGGAGCCCTCTCCTCCCTTCCCGCACCACCTACATGGGATGCCAGTGGATTTTGCCATGGCGGACTCCCAATTTCCTTTTCTTGTTCTGTCTTTATATATCATGTGATACAGCCTTCTTCTGGAGGTGGCTCAGCATTTCCCATCGTGACTTATATTCTCTCGTGTAATTTCAGGATTCATTTCCGTTCTGCTCCCTGTCCCGTGTGCCATCGCATGCAACCCCTGTCTCCTCTCCGATTCATGTGGTCTTCAAAAGTGTTTGAAGAGAAGGCAAAAACATTGGTTTAGCGAGTTCATTTCAGCCTGTAAGTAACGACATGAGCGACTGGAAATACTATTTAGGAGATCATTGCCTGCCTGCTGCTTCAAGCAGAGTATCATAACATAACATCATGAGCAGAGATGCTGCCCTCATGACCAAACACCTCTGCCAGGAAACCCACAATTGTATCTAACTGGGTTGCATCTAAAAGCCAATCCTCGTCTTGCTGTGAACCAGGCTGGGCATCCCAAACCACCCTGAGAAACCCCAAGCGGTTTAATATCTCGTAGGCTGTCAATCCTGTTTGAATATCCACGCATGGATCATCCTCAAGATAGCTCAGAAGAACCGGAGTCTCCAGCGTCGCCTCCCCATCCACCAAATCCCTTGGAAATGCTTCTGATCCTCCCATCCTCGCCTCCTCTTTAGCAAGTAGCCCCCGGTCCCGACCACCTAATCCCTCGACCCTCTCCGGCAGAGGAATCCACCCGCCCACACCCACAAACCCACCCAGTCGCCTCCGCGCAGCGACTAATGTAGCAATCGCAACGGCCATCCCCTGCCCGAACCCACCCAGCACCACGCGGTGACTGTCCCCGTCCAGCCGGGTGACTTCCTCCTCTACTATTTGTAGGATGTACGCTACGCAGGTTTCTAGATCTTCCTTTTGGTCTTTGTTTTCGTCTTCGTGGTCTTTCTCGTCGTCTTTTGTGGAGGGGCTGAGCTGTGCTTGGGGTTGTGGTTGTTGAGGAGAATCTGCGTTTGCGATTGCGTCTTCATCTTCGTTTGCATCACTGTCGACGTCGACGTCGACATCGACATCGATGTTGATCCAATTCCCCGGGCTCGCATGGCAAGTATCTATCTGCCGAGGCTGAGCAGAGGGAAACACCCAGCGGCAGGAGGGGAAGTGCTCGAAGATAGCTTTGGAATTTCCAGCTGTCGCTGTTTCTGTTGCTGGTGTTGTTGAGGCGGCCAGCGCGGCGGCTAGCTCGGCGCCTGTGCTGTTTGTGTCGTGCAGGAGGATGACGGTGGATGTGTGGGAGGGGGTGGAGGGGAAGTAGACATGGCGGGGTGGGAACAGTTGGGCGACCATTTTGGAGGCATCATGGATCTGGCATTGAAATTGAGAGGGAGGGAGGGTGTGGCTGTTATATACCTGTCTAAGACTGGGATCGTCGTGTCGGTACCTGCTTCGAGGTGCGTCGCGTAGCGTCACTTGGACTAATGCCAATTGTACCTAACTAATAGATGGCATGGAGAGTTATTGGAAAACCGGTTTTTGTCCTTATTGCGATGCCAATGTTTCGGAGTGACTTCTACCTTGTATATACTATAGAAATAATACTCTATATTATAAACAGGTGACGGTGAGGTAGTTCAGCTTGTTTGTTCCCCTCATGAGCAGTCAGGCCGGCGGTAAGAAAGAAGCAAAAAGGACCCCCTGAACAGCTGCATAGGAAATCATATATGTGACTGCCATGCTTGAATACGAACCCTGCTTCTGCCCCCCAACCTCCTTCTTGTCCAGACGGACCAACGAGTACTCCTTCATGAGGAGATCCGCGATCCAGAAATACCACACGGGGTAACCCGAGGACATGCGGGTAATGATCTGAACATGGTGTTTTGCCAATGTCAAGACCGCCAGGATGAACTGAGGAGCCGCCAGGCTGCGCAACAGGCGGTCTGCTCCTGTCAGTCTGCCCGATTGCACGTTGAGAGTCCAAAAGGCAGAATACGTCATGATGGCCAACATTGGACTGGCCAAGGCGAACAAGGGGATATTGGACACAGTCCAGTACCGAAGAAACCCATTGTTCCTATGGGATTAGTTAGCGGCGCAACGATACCAATTCGGAAACATACCAATAATGGTCCTGGACGAAGCTGTAGATACTTGGAACAGTCCTACGGCACCATATCCTTGGTTGTCCATCGTGCGTATATGGGCTATTGAGGCAGAAATCCCGGTAAGCGATGTATTGCGGCACCACAAAACCAAGACCCGTGCAGACACCGGCTATACCCACGGCGAATAGCCGACGAGATTTTGCAAAGGTGATACCCCCGGTCATCGAATAGAGCACTCTGATTGCTTCCTCTAGGAACAGCAGGCCGTTGAGGATACCATTGCTGCGAACAGTGGTGGCTAATCCGCACAGGATACCACCTAGCGGAATAAGAGCATCTTTGAGACCCGTGGAAGCCCCTGACGGGCTGAAGCTCTGAACGAAGAGAAAGTAGCCAGTGAAGCTCAAGAGAGCATAGGTACTCTCCCCGTACGGGGCCGAAAGGAAAAGTCCAGCAGGTGAGAATATATATAAACACGCTGCGATGAATGCGAGCATGCGACCCTGCCTTCCGGAAAATATTGCACACCCCAGACAATAGAGGACAAGTACCGACAGGCCATGAGCAGCATGAGCTATGAGAATACCAGCGATGTGCTCCCTAAATGCGTGGTCTACAGCGCCTGTCCGTTGGAGAGCTAGATAACTATTAGTCGGCCAGTGTGCAACAGGTTCAAAGGCGCTCACCATTGGCAAAGAAATTGATGAGCTTGGTGAAGCCATAACCGAATGCCCATTCTTGCTCGAAAACATAGCCCCGGCTTGCGGCCTCGGTGAAATATATAGCGTCCCATCTGGTTAGCTTGGTGGAAACCAGGCGCAAGCTCGCTGTAAATGGACCATCGCCGACTGCATTGGTTGCATTACGGTCCAACCGAAGCGTGGTTGAAGTGTCGTAGCCAGGACCAGGACTGAAGAGAGCCAGCAGAAGTAGAAGAGTTTTCCAGAATATAAAGACAGTCAGTAGTGATTTATAGGGGCGACTAAGAGAAATTGTGAATGACCACGACATATTGTGATAACATCCAGCGTTGCAGAGAAAGACGCGTGGAGGATGGGCGCGACCGAGGTGTTGACATGTAATCTTAAAGTTGCCCACCGCAGTGCGATAACCCTAGGTACTCTACAGCATGCTGACCGTTATCTATAACTTCAACATCTTCATGCGAAATTGAACACAATTTCATGTTTTTTGTCTCTTGTAGTTTTGCACCAGTTCAGCTCTTGATCTATGTTTATAAAGTCCTGGCTGAAAATATGCCTCAGCCATGTAATCCTCAACAAGTAACAATCGATGAGCCCTAGCTTGCAGCCGTTGGCCTACTGCCCAACAACGGCCTCCTCTCCGGATCAGAAGCCGCGAGACGCTTTTCTCGCCTCAAAGTCAACCACAGCAAGATCCCCTGCCCAAAAGCAAAGATGGCCTCATCAACAGCCACAGACCCGATCATCCTCCACCAAGCAAAAATCACCAAGTAGACAGGTACACGTTCCTGCGGGTCCTCCAGGTACGCCTTCCACAGGAAAGCAAGCCTCAGGACCAGGACGCAGCCAAGAGCATGAAGATTACTGCTTGAAGTTTGAGCCAGGGTAGACTGAGTTTAAGCGGGGACGCTCGCGCTTGTTTGTACAAGCCGAGAATCAAGAGCGTGACGATAACTGGGACCAGGGCGAAGACATGGTAGCCCTCGAATAACACAATGGGGTCACGATCGTATTCGGGACAGTTTGGCTTGTCGGGAGGACAGAAGACATCCGTTGTGGCGTCAATGATCAGCGGCATGAGAGAGATGATGAGGAAGAAGACGTAGATAGCTATGACCAGGGCCTTTCGGAGGCGGCTGATGGATTTGAAATAGAGACATAGAAAGAATCTACGCATTCTGTCAGTTTTAATCACATTGATGGTCGTACATGCTCACAAGACATTGAATAGTGCCCAGACACCCGTCAAATGCACAAAGTTGACCCAGTCAAGGACTGTCATCGGGAGATGGGTCCAGAAGCCTGGCCACTCGCGCATATTGACCATCCAAAAGAAGGCGGAAAAGACATGTTCGGTGGCGCAAATCAGATTGAACAAAAGGTAGGAAGATGAGATTCGTTTGGCGTCCCTGCGCTGCCAGACATGTTGGATCTGAAAAGTGAACGACGCAAAAGTCAGCAGGAGCACAATCCTGTCTCAAATGTAAGTAATACTGCAGAGAGACACATTCGGCTTTGGATAGGCAGGATAACGCACAGGCTGAGAATGGTAAGCGGCGTTTCGAGCAGTCACAGTTGAAAAGAGCAGGTTACTGAGCAGGTATGATTGATTTTAACTAAGAATGGCAGGGGGCGTGTCTCTAACGATTTCTTGATAGTATACCTCCACTATCTCCATGTGTTCTAGTGCTCATTGTGCGCAGGGCTACTGATCAAGGCTGAGCTCGCTGTGGGGAAGCCTAGAACTTTGAGATCGCGTCGCCCGGACCGGAGGCTTACCCCTAACTTAATTGAGGATTCGCGGACAGTTCAGTCTCCACAGTCTGTCTACTTCTTCTAACCGATCAACAAGGGTCTCCATCAGGTTGTCCACTAGCGTTGTTTGGAGTCATTGGACAATACGGGCTGCAAGATGGGGCCCGGTTCAACACTCTCCTCTATATTAGTCCCATTTCCCAGGAGGGTGCCTAGGTAGATTCCCAATACCACCCCCACCCGAACTGCAGCTCCTGCAGCTGCCCAACAAAGCAGAGGAAACAACCGATAATGGACGAGACCTTGGCTCCGTATTTGTGATGGACACAGAAAGACCGCCTGTGAGCTCTCAGCCCCAAGCCTGACCAGAGCAGCAGCCGGTTAACTTCCCGTAGCCCGGGTGCACCGGCAATTTCCCTCGAGCTACAAGGCCCTGAGAAGCTGTGGCAGAGAACCACATATCTGTTCGAAGTCATCTTACGCCGCGTTGATGATAGAAATAGCCCATGTCTTTTTGCGCATGGGCTCCGCATATCCAGGGATTTGTTGCCTCCGGTTTCATTATTCTTCATCATACCACTGAAGGCTTGAAGCAGATTGAGCTTCCCCAAAGCACACGGCCTCCCCTTTCGTCATGGGTTATTGAAGAATCATGTTTCATTGAACATATTCTGGGCGGCCCCCAGCGATGGATGGATGTATTGCCAGACCTCTTTCTCTCTTGCCTAACGGCTGGAGAGAGATATACATTATTCTGGCCCGGTGAAAGATACGCCGCATGGGAGTGGGGAGTAGCCAAGAACCGTTTTTACAGCTACATACCGACTCAAGACACCAGCCTCATTCTGCCAGGCGGTCCTATGCTGGCCTTCACCGCAGAATAAGGAGAGCAGCCATTGCATGCTCCCAATACGTGGCCGGTGGAGGTGATATCTCGCGCGGGAGAACAACCGCGCTTCCCACGTTGACTATCCGCTGATGTGGATTCCAGAGAAGAAACGACCTCAATTTTGATCGCAAAGATTGAATGTGCATCAACCGTTCCCGTACAGAAATGGGAGGTGAGAACGGAGCTTCGTATTACCTACTATCCTGGCCCTTCTGGCGAGACCAGGCCGATCACTTTTCATAGTGGATTCTGAATTGTCCTACCATCTATCAGTTGCGTGGTCGTTAGGTTGCACAGTACACAGTTGACGGCTGTGGAGGGGGGATATGGGATGATCCTGATATGCAGATCTCGCCCGGCGACCACGAGGACTTTGAAACTCTCCATCCTGGAGAGACCTGGTCCTCGTTCGTAAACCACGAGTTGCCTGAAGATGTGCAGGTGAGGATTCATTCAGAGTCCAGATCAGAGAGACAAAAATCGACTGGTGGGACTGGGGAACCCGGGAAGACCACCTGTCTACCAAAGTAACAGTGCCCTGTTGGATAGGGCCCAAAATGCTAGATCCCAGTGATAACAATGGGCGACCTTTGATTGTGGTACCGGCGTCAGAGCCCGTTGATAATCAAATCATTTAGACTATATGGTTGGAGATCATTTACCTACGCTGCTTGACCACATCCAAGACTGTTTAATTCAATTTAGACACGAGGATATACCTATATTTCGCATTTCTTTCTCGAAGGTCTTGCAAGCTATTTAGAGCACTGTGTGTCAAGGGAATAAGCGCCAGCACTTAGCGACTATGGAATCAGTTAGTAAGCCACAATACAATGCCTGAGCACCCAAACATATGCCACGCAGCCTCGTTCATGATAATGGATTGAGAAGTCCATATTCTTAGTACTAGTAACTACCAATCATCGCAGAGATGGACTGACTTGCCGAAAGCCGAAAGCCAATGCCCAGCGCAAGGAGGGGTGGTGCATGCATTACGAATTAAAAGTGGCGGTGCCGGAGTTGACTTTACATGGATGCCTACGACCTTGGAAAGATGCCGTTCTGTCGAACCAGAGATTGAAGTACAGATTTGTGGTGGTCATAGTCTTTCTGGAGATGTCTATAAAACAAGCACGGCTCCTGTCTGTCAGTAGGTTATAAGCTGTCATTGTCATCGTCTAAAAGGCGCGATAAATACTATAGGTACGGAGTAAAGCCACAGACCTGCCGAATCCGGAGATCCCGTGCCATCTGCCAAGTGCTTGGGGCGCCTCTTTCTTGGAGGACTTGTTAACTTCATCTGACTGACTGATATTCTTAACAATCCTCTCCTTTGCCCCTCCTTTTCAATTTTCTTCCTTTACCATATATCTCGTATCGTCAGCGCGACGCTCCACATCAACCCAACGAAATATCTCCTTATCCGGTCTCTTGCAACTAGCTGACAGCTGTCGGCAATCTTCAGACGCTCGCCGAATACTCTCTCTGGACTCGACACCTGAGAAGTCTATTCGAACTATTGATCACAGTTTCAGTCTCTATTAGCTGTACATCTTGATAATTCGACTATACTGAGAAACTCGTCACCTTTACACAAGCATCAAGATGTCATACAATAAGCCGGTTAGTTCCCTAATCTCTCATACTCACGCCTTCCAGTTCTCGCGACTTAGCGTGGGTAACATCTAACGTTTACTCTCTAGGACGGCCCTCCTCCTTCCTATCCTGCGCCCGTTCATGACGCTGGCCCATACGGCCACCCCGGCTCGCCTCCTCCTGGCGGCGCAAACCAAGACTACTACAACCAAGGCGGTTACTACCCTCCTCAGAACTACGGTCCCCCTCCCCAGCAAGGCCAGCAAGGATACGGCGGTTACGGCTCCCCTCCTCCCCCGGGTCAACCTATGTACTATCCTCCGCAAGGATATCCGCAACAGCAGCAAGGTTACTATCCGGAAGACCGGGGAGGGCCTTCAGGCGGTGGCATTTGTGCCGGTATCATGGCCGCTCTTGCATGCTGTTGCTGCTTGGATATTCTGTTTTGATCAGTATGAAAAAAAGGGACCCGTGCCATTATAATTGAGGGCAAAATGCCCTGAACATTCTGTTTTTGCTCGAATACCTTTCTGTCCATCATTTTCTGACTATTCTGCTACGGCGCTGGAACGGATACGGAGCATTATCAGGTCGGGACTCGTCATATCTCCTTTGTGTGGATTCTCCGTCGTTCATTCCCTCATTGTTCCCCATGTGTTGGTTGCCAAAGGCGAGGAGTCTTTCTTATTCTTGTCAATATTAATCTTTCTTTACTATTTTTAAGGACTGCAACCCGCATCTCACAAACCAGCCTGATCGTGTTCAGAAGGAGCATCTTGTAAATAAATCATAACATGACATGGCTTCGTAACTCATTATCCAGCGCACAGCATAAGGTTATTATGGTAGCGTAATCGCATCAAATCAAGGGTATCCAAAACAACATCACAAATGCAATCCACCTTTAATAATGTCCTCATCACCGCCCATCATACGAACTCCCACCCCCATACTCATACGGATCAACCGTCCGATAAGACCCCGACACCCGACTCCTCCTCGACCTCGACCGCGCAGGCGCCACCGGCCCATCAATCGACGAATGCTCCTCCAGAACCTCCACCACATCCCCCTCATCCGTCCTCGACGCACTCGTCATCGACTCCTCCACCACAATATGATCGTCATCCGGATGCCGTCTGCGCCGCTCCTCCTCCTCCACCACCTCGATTCTTCCTCCGCGGCGCGCCCGCCGCGCCCGTCTCCCCAGCGCGCTCTCCGTCGTCGTCGACATCGACACGGTGCTGACTTCTACGTCGTCGGGGGATGGCTTGTTGTTCAGTCCGAGGCCCAGGTAGGCGAGGTATAGGAGGAAGATGAAGCCGGCGACGCTGCCTAGGACGATTCCTGCTACGGTGCCGGGGGAGGGGCTATCGTCGAGACGGCCGTAGGAGGCGGGGATGGAGACGGTTGTGTAGCGGCGGAGGGGGGTCATTTTTATCCCCTTATTCTTTTGAAGATGGGGTATGGTTGTGTGAGAGTGTTGAGGAGGGTTAGGTTTGTTGTTGTAGTTGTGGGCGCCGCTGTAGATGGTAGTTGTTGTTTGGGTGGGTTGGTTTGTATGCGTATGGTGATTGTGATGACGCAACGAGCGACATGTGGATTAACTGCAGGTGCGCGAGAGCGATGGAGATGCTCCCTTAGGACGAAGTACGCTGAAATAATACTGACATTGAAAGGAGGGAGAAAATGCTGCGGCGTTGGTGAGATGCATGATGTACGGCATAAAGCAGACAGCGGACAGCGGACGGACCCCGATTATGTGGTGGCTGGGGTGGGTCGTGGGCACCTCGGGAGGATCCGCACCTTTTACACTACATTTTCTTTTGGCGAGCTAGCTACAAATATCACTTTCGAATATGCGTACTCGTATACCTCTCGTAGACGGAAGAAAATTACTGGATAAAAAGGTGAACATACAGCAGTTTTATTGTTGTACTCGACTATCGTCCTGATGCACTATGCACTGTGCACTGACCCTGACACTAATGACTATCTATCAATAAGCTCCCTTCCGTTGACGATAACTTGGCTGCTTTGATGGCCGGATCTTTGATAGAGCAGTCATCACTGGTGTGGTGTTCACCAGCTCAAAGTCATCCAGCTTGGCGCCATCCGACTCGAGTGCCCACAGAGTCAACGCAACCCAATTGGTTCCCTGGTAGTTTAGAATACCCTGCGGGACGGGGAAGCTTGTCTGAGGGCCGATGTTGCTAACCAACTTGCCGTACTGGTACCCGTTGACATACAGCTGCACGCGGTAGGCTGACTTTGTGCTGTTGCCAAAGTTGAAGTAGAGTGGCACGTCCCACCCACTTGGGATATCCAGTTCGAACTGAGCGCTGTAGAAGCCAATACCAGGCTTGGATAACCCTTTGAGAGGACTAGCTGACTTCCACTTCTCGCTGGGCGGCTCGGGCTGGTGGAAGCCCTGCCGTTCGGCATACAATCCACCCTCGTTCAGAGGGCCGCGGATCTTGTCCTGGTAATCCTCTCCGCCGAGGTTTCCGGTCAATTTCCAAGTGATCGCCGAGGCGTCGCGGCCGGAGAGCTTGTAGGAGAGAATACCCCTGGGGTTCTTCATCTCGTCCGTGCCCACAACCCAGTTCTCGTTGAGACCCATTGTGTCAATGACAACAGTGAGAACATAGTTCTTGCCTTTCTCGACCTGTGGCAGCTTGTAGGTCGAGTTGTAGTCCGCATTCGCATTGAGACCAGTCCATGAGCCTAGGAACGTTCCGTTCAACCACACGGAACTGCCAAAGGCCGAGCCTCCTTGCGTGCGCACATCAAAAGTAGTTTCGCTGCCGTCGGCAACAAAGTGGCCGCGATAGATCAGGTAACCGGTATGGAAGCCATAGTCGGACGAGTACAGAGACTTTGGTGTGGTCAAGGGTCGCAGGGTGTTGGGTGTGGTGTCCAGGTCGGCAGCCCTCCATGCAGAGTCGTCATAAGTCGACTGAACCTCTGGCAGAGTATCGAGATACTTCCAATCCAGATCCTTCATGCTGGGAAGCTTGATCTTAGGAGCACTGTATTTGACCTCGGTAGACCAGATACCATTCTTATCGGTCTTGAACTGAGTCTTCTCGCCGTTGATGTACAAGTTCCTGACATTTGACGGGGCTCCAATCACTTCAACTGGGGTAGTTGCGTTGAAATCGGCGGTAAGATAGAGGCCGGAGCCCTTGGTATAAGCAGTCCGCACAAGGTAACCAGCTTTGACAATAATGGACGAAGCAGTAGTCTTTTCGGAGCTGTAGCCCGTTGACGAGTCATCCTTGTCAAGTTGCGGTACCCAGTAATTGTAGGCAGAGTTCCTATCTGCTCGGAATTAGCTTTGAAAAATAAGAGTCACGGGCAGATTACTTACCCAACAGGAAGATCTTGAGGTCGCCAATCTGAACAATACGGCGGGAAGATGATACATCCCAGGCGACCACAACAACATCCCCAACCTTCTTCGAGGTGACTTCTGAATCAGATCCTTCGGCGACCTTGATGTCGGACTTGAGTGAAACCGCCAGCTCGTGGTGCTCACCAGGTCCACCATACAAGACGAGAACTTTGCTATCCCCGAACTTCTTCCAGGTGAAGACTTCGGCCGTCGAATAGAGGATATTGGTTCCCCCGACGTTGTAGTCCACAACATGAACCTTGGAATCACGTCCATTGAGCGTTAGGGTACCGCCGAGCTGGGGAACTGTGAGTTTCCCAGCACTGGTTGGGAGGCTGAGCTTGTACGGCGTGGATGCCTGGCTGGTGTAATCCGTATGTCTGACAACAAAGTACGATCCAGTGCCATTGCCAAGCAAAGGAGTCACGGTCAAATCAGCTGTGTCGGCGTATCCGGAGGTAGTCAAATTGCCAGGTGTAGCCAGAAGGTAAGACGGCGAGGCTTTCACGAAGTTACCAATCAACTTGAGCTCGCTGTACTTCTCCCGAGTGACATTGCGAGATTCGGTCAGCGGCGATCCGTAATCGTAGGATGTGTATCCACCAGGATGGCCAAGGTTACCCCAGTTCGTGCCGCCAAAGGTCTAAGCGTGTCAGCGCTTGGTCAATCTTAAGTGGGATCTTTCCATACCATGTACAAGTTGAGGATAGCAGCTCCAAAGCTCAGGTCATTTTTGTAAAACACTCTCTCGAACTCATGATTGACGAGGGCGGCGCATGCTTCAAAGCCGGGTCCACCCCATGGATCGAAAGAACCGGCTTGGAACTTGACGACTGTCAGTAATGTCCAGGTCGAAAGGCATGAGATCACACACCTCAACAAGAGAGTACGGGGTTGTCGGGCTCTGTCTCAAGTGATCCGTCCGGAAAGTGGTTGGCAGGTTGCCCTTGGGCCAAACGCTTGGGTGTCCCTAGTTCCATTAGAATGGCTCAAAAGTTCAAGAAAACTCGATCTTACACAGTCAAACCCTAGTCTAATACAAGCAAGTTAGAATTGTCTTTCCAGAAGGTGATCTTAGACTCACGGATAGCTATCGTGACCATAGATGTCAACTTCTCCCTTGCCCGTCCCAGGGGCATTGTGTCCTCCAGTCCAGGCATCGTTGTTGATCAATGGTACAACAATACCGGCGTTCCGAGCCTGGTCGATGACATACTGCATGTAGTCCCCGTCGGGGAAAGTAGCGTTACAGCACGCACCGCTGTACTCATTCTCCGGTTGATAAAGGATGACCGGACCCCCGTTTGTGATTTGGCCTTTGGCAACAGTAGCAGCAACATTGGCAATGTAGCTAATCCAGAGTCAGCAGCTGTTGAGACTATAAACAATCATAAGGAACATACTTATCAGTAGCCTTTAGGTACGCGGGATCGGACGTTCGCAGGGTTCCGTTCACTCTCTGCAACCATCCAGGGAAACCACCGCCCGAAGCCTCGGCATTGATGTAAGGACCAGGACGAGCGAGGAGATAGATTCCCGCCTGCTTAGCCGCATCAAAGAAAGGCTCGAGGGCAAAGTTGCCTTCAGCTCTGTACTCGCCAGGTTTTCCTTCGAGCACAGCCCAGTCAACGTAGAATAAAACGCAATTGAAACCCAGGGCCTTGATTTTCTGAAAGACATCGAGCCACAACGAAGGAACCGGCAGCCTACACAATGTAAGAACAATCCAAAGTAGATTACCGGGTTTGGTACGCACCTGAAAGGGTGAACTTCTCCGCTGAAAATCATGATTCTCTCGCCATTGACAAACAGTGACTTCTCATCCCAGGTGACCTAGAGTTATGTCAGTACGTATTGATCACTTATCAAGTTTTCGATCTCACATACGTATTTCTGCAACAATTCCCGCTTCGCAGGATCCGAATGCTCCATAATAGTATAGCCATTGAGCTTGTGCTTGATAGAAGCACCCGCTGCCTGAGCTGCCAGCAAGGCAACTGCGCAGGCAGAGAGAAGCTTCATAGTGTTTCTTCAAGTGAAAACCAGAAGAAT